CTCCCCCCCCCCCCCCACAACCCCCTCAATCACAGTCACCTTTTGCAAACAGTAAGATCACAGTTTAGCAGTAAGAATAATTGACAATGTTTTCAACCTCAAAAAGAAAATTGAAATCCAAACACCGTCCAATCACTAACCCTGACAGAAACATGGAATTTAAAACACCTGGAGTTCTCTCTACTTAAAAGACTTTATAGACTTGTCTGGAAATAATTTCACAACAAAAAACCCCTTACCCTTTACCACCACACTCTGCCCCCCCCACCCCCAAAGTAAAATGACCTCCAAAACCCCACCAAAAAGCCTCTATCCTCCACCATTGAAAACCACCATGTACACCAATTTATATACTCACAAAACAATAGGAGCTGACATACAGAAAAAAATAGAAATATTTGGAGCTGCAATTTTAGATTGTGGGGTTTGTGAGAAGTGATAAGCTGTTACGTATATTTGAGAGAGAGCAAAAAGGGTGTATTGGGTATTTGCTGAAGGAGCATAAAGCATGAGCTTTTTTGTTCATCGAGTTGGAAGGCTCATTTTCTTGGTTGTTCTGTGATGAAGATTCACCTCGCCTGATTCTTCTGCGATTCGTTCTTTAGTTATTGGTGAGCTCTTACCCCTAATGGTACAATTTTATTCATGGGTATGCAAGTACTACTGTCCTTTGTTTGGTTGTAGAAGACTCTAGTTTTAAGTGGTCAGTGAATGTACACTTCTCTACTTCATTCAATGTATCCTTGAACTACAAAAAACTAGAGATAATCAGCATATTTGCTGTTCTAAGATCATCTGTTTCTGAAATTAGTATGTAGATGGGGGGTATTTCCTTGTCAAAAGCTTAGGTGTGCCATTAGAAGCTGCTGTTACTTCATAAGATTTGGTTATTTGAGTGCTCTAAGCTTATCTTGTTTCACTTAGCAAAATATATACCTCTTTTCTTATTTTCTTTCTTGAGATCTAGGAAGTAATAAATATTCATAGAAAATATCTAGAAGTCAAGAACTGGATAAAAGGCAATTGCTCATCCACAATTCCTCATTATTTTCGGGCATTTTACCAATTCATTCTTGTTCTTTTTAATAGCTAATAATGCATCATTTCTTTTTTTTGTTTTTTTTTGGAGAAGGTAACGATTTGTATTATAAACCAGTACTACATTAGTGCTGAATGCCCCTTTACAAAAAGGTATGAAAATCTAGAAACAAAATCAGCAAGCCTAGCATGATTCTAATACTTCTAGGATTGCTTCTGCATCTACAGGGGAACTCTTTGTACACCAAAATCATAATAACAGAATACAATCTGTTTTGATCATTTGTAGGGATCTGCTTCTATCGTCAAAGCTTCTAGCATTCCTTTCTCTCCAAATGGTCCACCAGATGCATGCTGGAATTGTCCTCCAATAACTTCTGTTCTTTGCCTCAATTCCTACTTCCTCCCAACTTGAGAGAGTGTCAACAATCTTGCTAGGCATTGTCCATTGAATGCCTCTGAGATTGATGAAAATCTTCCACAATGTAAGAACAAATGCCTAACTGTCTCTGCCTCCCCACATAAACAACAATGTGTCACCAGAATGTTGTTTCGTTTCCTCAGATTCTCATGTGTTAGTACTGCCTCCTTTGCTAGCAGCCAAGTGAAGCATGCCACCTTGAGTGGAATTTTGGTTTTCCAGATTTGTCTCCAAGGACAATTGAGGGTTAGAGGAGCCCTATTCATGACCTTGTAACCTGAGCTCACTTTGTATCTTCCTTTGTTGTGCTCTGTCCACCGTAGGCAGTCCTCCCCTTCCTTCAAACATTGAAATTGGGTAGCTAGTATCACATTTCTCCTTCTGTTTGTGACGCAAAGCGCAACTTATGCCTTGTTTCGCCAATTGGGTAGCTCGTATCACATTTCCTATATACCAACTTTCTTTGATCTCTGCATATCTGTGTTTTTGCTAAATGGAAGAGGGTCATATCGGCACCTGAACTTTGCAAGGCGATCCAAATCTTCCTTCAATTAGTAGTTGCAAGGCGATCCAAATCTTCCCTCAATTAGCAATTCTAATTCTAATTAGGAGAGGTATTCTTATGCCCCAAAACAAAATATCAGCCAACGCCTGAATGTATGCCTAGACAAATGAGACTTACACCTCAATGATACTTTCACTTGGCCAAATTACCCGGTGTGTTTATACTATGCCATGCCCTAGGACTCGCCCAAAAAAAGCCTTTGAAAACACAGGCATTAACATTGCAACATAAGAATCATGTTGACAACAATAACATAACCTCTGTCCAATCATTTATATAGTAGAATAGATGTTGCTTAAAAATTCAGTATCAAGCAGTATTCTAAATTATAGATGTTGCTTCAAAGCAAAGTCAAATAAAACAATGACGTCCCTGATCCTCTGGAAACGATATTCTAAATTACAGCATATTCAATAGCTAAGAGGATAGGCCCGCATTAATTATGTAAAGGATTGCCGATGCCTGAATTAGCATCTATTGCTTAATAAGTTTGCATTCTGGAAGCCAAAAATTCAATACATAAAGAGTGTGTTTGGGGTATAAGCAAATGTTTATTTTGAGGACAATGTTATATACCCAAAAAGAGGAAAATGACTTGTGTTTACTTATTTGCAGAATTCACTTTCATTTGTAAATTTATTAACTTTTACTCCATGTCAATTGTTTTAGTCGAACTATTGAAACTTTCTTAGCAACTTCTAAAGCCAAACATGTCACAGAAACACAACTTTAATTACTTCTTTTTTGATGACCCCTTCGGTGTGCACACGGAAAACCCCCACTCCTATGCAATAGGTGGCGAATCATATAGGAGAGGTGACCAACACTAGGCAAGCCCCTTACAACGAGCTCGGCCCAGAATTTATCAACTTTTACTCCGTGTCACTTTCATTTGTAAATTTATCAACTTTTACTCCATATCACTTTAGAGACATATATATAGCCTACTCCCTGTAATTTAATGGAAACAAACAAACAAAAGATTTTAATAAAGAAATTATTATTTTTTCCTCCATACGAAATGCCCTTATCTAGTTCAATCTAAAATTAAAATTTAATGCATGACAAAAGGGGAGAAAAATAGAAATACCTCATTATCAAGCGTGGAATCTAAGCCAATAGAGGATCTGATTTCCCAAACATCATCAACACGATTTTCATCATCATTGATAACATTTTGGATGTTCCTGCGTTTTTGTTTGAATAATTCATCATACGATGAAGAACAAAGGTTATGGTCATCATCATCTTTCCCTTGCTTCAGTGCGCTTCGATTCCACTCTTTCTTCTCCACATCGTCGTCGCTGAGAGACCACACCGATGCCGACGGCGATAGACAGCCGAAAACTTTGTGTACACGGGCTCTGAAGCTCTCATCGTCCATGCCTTACCACTTTGTACTTCCTGCTTAATAATGTGTACTACTATTTCCTACGCTTGCTTTGCTTTAGGCTACCTTTTATACATATTTGTCTACCACCGCCTTCGATTAGATGGTACCCAATTTATTTACGATTATGGCTCGGATGATTTATCTTTTTGGAAAAAAGAGTTGTGTTTCTAATATAAATAAAATAAGTAATTTTTAATTTTCGTTTAGTGTTTGAATCAATTTGATTTTAAGTTAAAATAATAAAAATAAGTATAATGGAATTTCTGATTTAGCCAAACCCTAAACCCAATCTAAAGAGGTTGTGACGTGTGAGTTTCACTTTCGGAGGCCACTTATCCTTAAATAGAATTTGAGAGCCAGATTTCATATTAATGTTTTTTTTATTAAATTTCAATTTCTTTCAATGAGAAAAAGGGTTTAAAATACCATTATTTTTGTTTATAAGTTAATTTTTTTCTTAGTTATACTATATGATAGAGGCAACTCAATGTTATTGGTGGGCCTAAAGCCAAATTTTAAAATGAGGGCAAAAAAAAAAAAGACTTTTATATTGCAAAGTGGTGAATAATTATTTTACAATTGAATTCTCCTAATAATTCCTTTTCAATTGATAGTATAGCAAGTTAATACCGTCTCTCTTGATATATTGTTGATCTTGAATAAGATTTGATCAACTTTTATTTTCAAAAACTTATTTAAGCTAACATAGCTTCTTTTCGTAAATTGTATTAGATTTTCAATTTCTTTTTCTTGGAGTTTTGAATAGTTGGACTCATTTTTATCAATTGACATATTTAAATTTTAATAAATGATTCTTAAAATGTCTATAGAGTAAAATAACAAATACAAGATTAAAAAAAACTGAAATGATGAAACTTGATTAAAGAATTTGTTATTAGATTATATTATGTGATGTTGCTTATTTGAAATACTTTTATCTTAATGCTGAAACCACACCCCCAACTTAGGCTTTTGGCCTAAGTTGGCTATTCAAACAAACCACAGATCATGAGGATTATGGGTAATGGGTCAATAAAAGGTAGCAAAGTTACCAAGTTTCTTCCAAGAAAAGGTTTAGGCTCAAAGAGTGCTCAAAAGAGGTTCACACACTCACAAGGTAAGCCACAAAAGAGATATAATTTCAAATTGGTTCACACTCTTTAAAGTTGCCTAAGATCATCTCAAGATATTGCATCACTAAGTCAACCGGACCAACGGGGTAAATTCTAGGTGTCATCACACATGGTTCATGGTAAGCTCATCACACAAGGAATTGTCACCACACATGGTTCATGGTAAGCTCATCACACAAGGAATTGTCACCACACATGGTTCATGGTAAGCTCATCACACAAGGAATTGTCACCACACATGGTTCATGGTAAGCTCATCACACAAGGAATTGTCACCACACATGGTTCATGGTAAGCTCATCACACAAGGAATTGTCACCACACATGGTTCATGGTAAGCTCATCACACAAGGAATTGTCACCACACATGGTTCATGGTAAGCTCATCACACAAGGAATTGTCACCACACATGGTTCATGGTAAGCTCATCACACAAGGAATTGTCACCACACATGGTTCATGGTAAGCTCATCACACAAGGAATTGTCACCACACATGGTTCATGGTAAGCTCATCACACAAGGAATTGTCACCACACATGGTTCATGGTAAGCTCATCACACAAGGAATTGTCACCACACATGGTTCATGGTAAGCTCATCACACAAGGAATTGTCACCAAAGTCAAACAAGACTCCACATTTTCGCTAGTGTGCGATTATCATCTCAAGAGACTCAATTCGATACTTGGCTAATCACAACGGGATGCAAGGAGTTCACATATTGTCTATGCAACTTCAATTGGCCTCGTTGTAGCCGCATATTCATTTTTGTTCGATTATGAGAACTATTCAAGTCATCGGTATTGATCAAAATCGATACTTAAATTTGCAAGAGAACAGTCACATTCAACATATACAAGAGGTGGCAAAAAAAATTCGAAAGGGTCAAAAATCATTTACAATTAAAAGCAAGGAACCACAAGCTCAAACCTTCCACAAAAAGCAATGTATAACACGAATTTAGCTCAAAGCCCAAATATATAAACAAAACTAGAATATTCACAAAACGAGTCACACAAAGGTGGGCCTCACCCCCACCACAAATAAAAGCATTTGTCCTCAAATGCAAACGAAAATATTCAATAGTCAAAATAAAAGTAAGATAGAGAGGGAGGTAAAGAGGGGATCCTGTCTACGCAGTCGCTCCATCTGTCTGAGCATCAGTGCCCGGTGCATCAGTCTGGTCCTGGGTCTTAGTGCCCTGAGTCACCTCAGAAGAAACAGCAGTATCAGACCCACTAGGAGTTGCCAAGGGTGTATCCGCAAAAAAGGTCTGCACAGCTGCATAGAATCCTCGGGCCTATGAAGGAGTATAGGGGACTCGGGGAGTAGTCTCCTTGTCAGAAATGAGCCTCTTGTCCTTGCCTTTATCTCCAGGTGGAGGTTGTTGTCTGCTCTTCTTTGGAGGATTTGATCCCCCTTCATTTATAGTGATACCCCATACTGCTTTTCGGTGAATCACCGACAGCTTTTGGCGAGCAAGGGTCAGCTCGCTGAAAGTTACAGTGTAAAAAGGGTTCAGGGGTGCAGACCTTGGGCAATCAAGAAGTCTTTCGGTGAGTCGCCGAGTGCATTCGGCGACCTCAGGCTTCTCACCAAAAGTTACAGAGTACAACAACACATTAAGCATAAAATTAAAGGTGAGATGGGGAACTTCAGTGAACCGCCGAGTGGTTCGGCGAGCTCGACCCAGCTCGTCAAACGACCCAACGTGCCTACTTTCAACCCATCTTCTCGAATTCAACCCCACAATCCCCGAAAACAAAATCAAAGCATGCACAATTCAAATTAAAACAAGTCCCATAACACCCATCACCTCGAGATACTCAGACTTCTCCGGGTTTTTCCAAATTTGGCCAATTAACGACTTTTGCCCTTAAGAATGACGTCAACAACTCCATCATTGGGAAAAATACGTCATTTGGCACAAATACGGGCAACCTAAACTTCACCCGACTAGACCCAACAACATGCAAGCACAACCCCACAAAATTTAATTCATTTTAAGGCATAAAAATATGGGATTTCAACATTCAAGACACTACGGGCAAGATTATCGAATTAAAGTAGGCAACCAAGCATTCTAATCCTATCAGAGAGGCCCAGCACACTTCAACAAGATAGTATCATTGCAAATGAGTACAAATTCGATAAAAACAAACTCGGGGTTTGGAAAACCAACCTTTAATGCCGATAAAAATAAGATTGACAGGCTAGGCGGCAATGTAATCAAAATCCGAGCACAATTCAACAACTCAAATACAAAAATGAAGCGAGAAATATAGAAAATACTTATCGGGTGTGAGTTTGTGAAAGTCAAAAGTGAGGAAAAGTGAAGAGTTTGAAAATTTAAACCTTTGGCCTTAAAAACCGTCCAGTTCTCACCCATTCAGCGACATTCGTCATGCTCGCCAAACCACTCGGTGACACGCCGAGTGATCACTTACCTCGCAGAGTTTATAGGACCTCCAGTTAAACTGGGGGTCCAAACAGCGGACTATATCGCGATCGCTGACCAAGTCGGCGATTCGCCAATAATTTCCTAGGCTCACCGAGTTTTACAGACTCCACTTTGAAATTGTCTTGAGTCCAACGGCGGTCTGGGTCGGGTTCACCTACCTCTTCGGCGATTCGCCAACTGGACCTTTAGTTTACCAATTTGCACTTTTCAAACACTTTCCACACTTTAACCTGCACAATTAACACACTATTATTTCTAAAATAAACATAAAGCGATGAAACCTTGGGTTGCCTCCCAAGAAGCACCTTATTTATCGTCGTGGCACGACGCAACTCCTCATTCAAGTTTCATTAGTGGGGTTTGCCTCATTTTCATAAGGCCACCCCTCTTTTGGCTCTGGGTAGAGAGAATATAGCACTTCTAATGGAAGGTGTTCCATTTGCTCACAATTATTATTTACACTCATTCTTCCTGTTGTAACACACAAACAAGCAAAACACAACTAAAATTAAGTGAGTGTCACGATAACTAACAAGAACAAAATTCAACTTAACTAAAAATTCTCAAGTAACACCACTCCCCGGCAGCGGCGCCATTTTGATATTACGTCTCAAACACACCTCATCCAATTCTAGGTGCAAACGATCGTTAGTCAGTGTATAACCCAACAAAAGGTTGGGATCGAATCCACAGGGAGCGGTACCGTATCAAATTCTATTAGGAAGTAAAGATGCAATTCTAATTGGTTATAGAAGTAGCCATTGTCGAAATCAAACAAAATAAGTCAAAGGTTTGACAACGAATGTCAGATGGGGTTTTTTTAAGATATCAATTAACCATTACAATAATAACTAAAACAGGGGATTAGACAAGTAGGAAGGAATCCTCGGGATGTGATCGATTATAAGCTAATTATGCTATATGGGTAATTGAAGTTAATTAATAATTTGTTGAATCACTGTGGGTAGGCTAGACTATAAGGGAAATAACTTTCTCTTGAACAACTATCTCAAATCAAGTGATTTCTTTCGAACATCAATAAGCATAACAATTAAGAACAGCCCACACCTTAATTCATCTACTCTCTCGAGCTAGATGGGTAGGATTGGGCTTAGGATTCACTCTCTTGAGCTTAACCCATATCAACCTAATACCTACAAACCATTAATCAAAAGCCTTGGTTCCAACACCTTTCTCTCTCGAGCAAGTTAAGAACACAAAATTAGAACTGCATTTGCAACTACAATTCATAAATTAAACCTCAGCTAATGATTAAACCCACATTAAAACAACATTTAAATCATTAAACAACAATATCCATAAGCTAATTAAGCAAATAATCACATGACCACACCCCAATAATTGGGGTTCTAGCCAAGCATCATAAAAAGATAGAAATTAATACCAAAGACATTCTCCATGATCTGGGTATTGCAGTCCAGGTCTTTAAAATGATTCGAAGTGCTAAAAAATCCAAGACCCACTTCGAATCTACTTGAAAAACCCTTCAAAGTTGTTCTCCAATGGAAAATCC